ACCCATGTGAGTTATTGGGTGAGTTGAGCCAGGTTTGAGTTAGGGGCAGACTATCCGCAACCGAACCCTCAAGTTTATTGGGCGGGCCTTTTAGATGGACTTTCTGAGTAGATCAGGTGGGCTTGCTCGCAGAATTTTTTTATATACAACTTTATTTAAAAATAATTAAATATTTTTATAACTTAATATTTTTGTTAATTTTATTTTTGAATCAAAATTATGGTCAAAATGATCAAAAAATAAATAATGAATAATTTTATTTTTGAATAAGAGAGGAACTACATCATAATAGAATGAGTACATCTCAATTAAGTTGACTCTTATCCACCTATCTATTATTTGCACAACTCTATCCTTTAAAACGTGTATGCGTAATATATGAAAAAGAAAATAATATATTATTTATAATATATAATTTTTTAAAACTTCAAATTTTGACATTAGGGTATTTATTCAAAGTTTCAAATTCAATGGTTTAATAAACTAACTTTTTTTTCAAATGATGGGTGGGCGGGCTGGGGCGGGTCGGGAGGGCTCTTGAAACAAGTTTTAACGAGTTTTTGTAGGCGGACTATTGGGTCGAGTTTTGGACCGGATAATGGATTTTGGGGGCAAGCTCAAGCCCTCCTTTTAAGAATATTGGGCTTAGGCGGGCCAACTATCAAGTCTATTGAGTTTCAGACCTATTTTTTTCTAGAAAGATAATTAGACCTGTGAATAACCTGGCCCATAAACACTCGTATCTATAGCCTTATGTGAACTACATATGGGTGGTTCTAAACGTATGCTAATGCTAGCATTAATAGTGGTGGTGGTCTTAAAATATTCAATGTAACGATTATATTATTTAAATATTATCACGTGGTATAACTATTTAATAATAAATAGTTAAATCGACAAGTTGAATTCCTCTTTTTTACATGGGATGATTATCGAGAGTATTTATTTGAAAGCGTGAGTACTTGCTGAGTTATTATTGGACGGACGGTTACAACACGTAATAATATTAATACAGTGTAATCGTTACAATAAATATTTGGGTGGATCTATTTTTAACCCTTAAATCTCCTTTCTCACCTAATTTAATCATCTTACTTCAAACTATTAAATTCATCACATTTATACTCATCTCACTAGTTACTAAATTCATTCCGACTATATTCACTAATTAAAAATTAAATTCATTCAATTTTATTTCATCTTATTATATAGGTAATGATCAAAATTTTGTTTCGGTGTATTATTTCGATACAAAAATATTTTAGAAGTAGAGTAAAAATTAATAATTATTTTAAAATATTAGTCAAAATATTTTAAAACACCTCAAAAATATTTTCAAGACATTGGTGAAAATATATTTTAAAAATTTCTTAAAATCCCCTCGAAATAATATAGATCACTTTGAAATATTAAAATTTCTCTTCAATTATGTGACATCCCCAAAATCGGGGGTCCCGTTGACAACCCGTCAACCCGTGAAAATGCCCGTGAGTGTCGCTTTTTCCAATATCACGCTAATATTATCCCGTTACCGGAATCTTACATCACACGTAACACTCATGTTCCATTAATCATTTAATCCTATTGAGGTTCAATGTATCCTAATATATCTCCATTTAAGTCCATTTGTATCATTGAAATCAAATGATGAATAGCCCAAGGCCTTGGAAAAAAAATTCAAAATCTGCCAAAGAGTATCGGTACGCGTGCCTTACTGGACCTCGTTGTACCGGTACGCTGTGTCCTCTGATCCTCGCCGTATCGGTACGCTGAGCCCATTTTCCCGTGTTTTCGATTTTAAATCCATTCCAAAGCCCACTTTTTTCATCCAAAACATACCTAACAATGTTTTTCACATAAAAGTGAACATGTACAAGGTCCATACAATTTTATATTACAATCTATTCCACATGATTTCATTAATTTACATGAAATTGCATACCAAAACTAAATTTTTCACAATAATGTTACAAAACTAAATATTTACACAACATGTGTTATACAAGCCATAAGTCGGCTCTCTTCATCCTTGAGGTCCCGTATGAGGGCCTTCCATCGGCGTATACTCCGCACCTGAAATATTTTCTCATATAGGGTGAGTTACGCCTAGTAAAGTATTTCCTACAGAGGCTACTCGCCAACCTAAGTGCATATGCAATGTTCACATGCGAAAATTCACAAACAACAACCGTTCCAATCAAGACTAATCAATCTATGTTGGAATCTAATATGTCGTGTCATGATATGAGATGATAACCACTCATGCAACTCAATTCGAGCCCTCATCGACTCCTTTCCCCCATACAATGTCATGAGTATTAAGATCGGGTGTCCCAACCTCTGTCATTGGTCTTACTCATTCAATGACCATTTAAAGATTTTTCTAGGGTCTTTGTAGGGGTAGATGTTTATAGACTCACACCAAGGGTCACCCAAACCACACGAAATTTACGGACTTCCACCGAGGGTTCCGCGTACACCCACACACTTCATGGACTATACCAAGAGAGTGCGTATCCAATCACTAGGCCTTGCACCCAAGGGATCTTCTAGTCCTTCTTGCTAACGCCGACTCTAATCACCATGTAGTCCGTGAGACTCGGTCAGGTCTTCGACCAAGCTTACTCGAGCCCACCAGTCATCCACTGAGCGTAGTGTTGACAAACAACCATGCACACACACACACTCATACATGCGATGTCTCCGCGCATATACAATGAAATGCACCATTGTTATTTCAATTGTCATATTCACATCTGATGATGAGCAACTTTAACATATATATTTTCATAATTTCATGGTCATTTATATCATAAGTATATAATAGTCAAATTTCATCTCAATGTTAATATATCAAAAAAAAAACATATATCAACATGTTCATATCTAACTCAATCCATAACCATGTTATTTCCTTTATACTAATAACACACTTAATTTTCAAAGCATAAATTCAACACATGACATGCCCACATAATACGAATTGTTCATGAATCATTTTAGGGCAAATTCACATAAACCTAAGGTACAAAATTCCATGGAATTACTCACGCAATCACCACATATATCAATTCCAAACTAAGAATTCATTTGTTAAACCTTTTTCATACTCATATCATCAATTTTCATCCATAGGCAAGTGATATATATATATCTATCCCCCCACCCATTACATACAATACCCTAGGTTGTAAAATAAATCCAAGTAAAAAGGAACTCTACCTCTTGAAACGTAAGGAACTACCGTAGGAAGTCCCTAGAACCCCCTTCGAGCCCAAATTCTAAACTTTCAAAAATCATGTACCTTGATCTTCGGTAAAACACGTCAATTTTTGGTGTGATCGCGTAGCCCTCGGCGAGAGGAGCAACTTTAATTCTTGGCCCGTGTGAATTTGAGCTCCGTAGCTTCCTAGATCGTAGAGAGAAGGTGAAGAACTTATCTTTTTCCCTCTCTTCTTTTCTCACGTTGAAATCGGCTGAAGAATGGAGTGAAATCTGATTTTTGCCCTTATTTATAGTCCCTAAACTCTTTGTCCACAACATGCCACATGACCCTCTTTTCTTCGGGTCCGTTTTTCGCCCGGAAACGATTAAATTTTGTCCCAGTTCATGTTCAAAATATTTTTATTTTTAACTTACCTTAAATAATTTTCAACTTTTAAAATTTTATCAAAAATCTCGTTTTTGGGTCACCCGAGACTCGACCGTCTTGTAAAATGCAAAAAATTCGACTATCTCAGAATTGATAAAATTTGACAGAGTAATTAGATTTCGCAAAACGAATCTAACGGTGAAGTCCGTTTCGTCATCCGAGATCTAGAAAAATTCAAGTTTACAACCTATATCGTAGTTACAAATTATCATTGTACCATTGTTATAAAAAGTTTAAACTCACCTGGATTTTACAAATTACTATTTTTGTTTCAGTATCTTTGACATATATTTAATAGTTTAATCAAATGAATATAAATTAAGTTAACTTAATAACTAATGAGATGAGTATAGATAAGGTGAACTTAATAATTTGCAGTAAAATAATTAAATGGTGTAGAAAAAATGATTTAATGGGTGGATAATAGCCCCACCCCTTTCTTAAATAGCAACATCATGCCCTCGTTCTTCCTCTTCATAAGTGCACTACAAAAAATACAACCCAAAACACAAAAATATTTAGGGTGGGATTATTTTTATCCTTTAAATCTTTTTTTTCCCTTATTTAATTATCTTATTTCAAATTATTAAGTTCATCTCATTTATATCTATCTCATTAGTTATTAAGTTCACTCCATTTGTACTCATTCAATTAAACTATTAAATATATATCAAAAAAATTGAAACAAAAATAGTAATTGAGGAGAAATTTCAATGTTGTGAGGGGATCTATATTATTTCGAGTTGTTTGAAGATATTTTGATATAATTTCATCAATGTCTTTAGAATATTTTGAGGTGTTTTAAGATATTTTGACTAATTTTTTTAAAATAATTATTATTTTTTACTAATTTTTATTCTGCTTCTGAAATATATTTGTTCCGAAATAATACACTGAAACAAACTTTTGATAATTACCCATATAGTTGGTTGAAATAAATTTAATTTTTAATTAGTGAATATAGACGGGGTGGGTTTAGTGACTAATGAAGTGAATATAAATGAAATAAATTTAATAATTTGAAATAAGATGATTAAATGAGATGAAAAATGAGATTTAAGAGGCGGGAATAAACCAACCCTTAAGAAAAAATCTACAATTTTTTGACCAAAGCGACCACTTACAATAAGGATTAACAAGATACATAAAATAGAAAGGGCTAAAGTCATATTTCCTATAATATAAGGGATAACCTTGAAGGTATAATATTTATAGGGGGCATATTGAAATTTTCTCATTAATAGATCTTACTCTGCTTAAAAACATCAAAACCCTAACCCTAAAACCCCGAGAAATTGAACTCGTCGTTCCTAAATCCGAAAAGGTTGATACTTTGAGCTCCGAAGCGATGTCGGGCAGAGAAGACGATAGTGACTCCGAAGCTCCTGAGGAATTCACATCACAGCAGGTTCGATTCACTCTCTATTGTCTATTTCTTACTCTTTGAAATCAAAAAGATAGAATTTTTTCTTTTTACTACTCTGATCAGGTTATCTGTTTTCATCGCAGGGAATTCAGCAAGACGAAGAGATAAGAAAAGTTGAAAACGAAAATAAGGCTAGGTATGAACATTTTATCATTTTGATCGCGGGAGTTATGGACATTCTAATTAAATGTGCATACATAAATATAATCTTTTCAATTCAATGATACCCTATGTTATATTAGTGGATTGAATGTTTGAATATTGGTGAATTTCTCATATAATGAGACCAAATATTACCCTTCTTTTCGTATTCTTGGGGTGGATTGGCTTTGTGGATTCGTATTTTGTTTGTAAATTATTATAGGGAGTTTTGAAAGTGTTCAATAGTGAACTGTGCTTGTGAGTGTGAAAGCTACATAGTTTCTTGATCTCGTGTGCTATTGGTTGTATTAGCTTAATGTGATATTGCTGGGCTGCTATAAGACATTTGTTGTGTTGAAGAAATAAAAATTAATGCAAAACTCTGGACCTGAAACTAGGTAAAACTTTATTTTGTAGCAAAATTGGGACTTGAAACTGCTTAATTTTGTATGCGGTACCAATTAGTAGTAGAGTTGTTATTGAATTCTAATGTATCAATCATTTTGTATGTGCTGCTGCAGGTTTTTCCTATTCTTTCATTTCTTCTTCTTCTCATACATGGTCCATCTCCAATTGCTATAGATGACATTGTTTCTCCCTATTTCATACCTTTTTCATTTTTGTATGGTCAGAATTTCCTTGCCTTGCTTAGAGCCGATGAATTACTGGACCCGAAAATATGTATAAAATTAAGTTTCTTGTCTTGACCCCATTAACTTGTATCAAAACACCATCTGGACTTACACATATGCAGAAATCATTTAAACAATCTGTCTTTGAAAAGTTCTCATTCAGATAAACATGCTTTCCATTGACGTGAGCGGCATAAACTGTTTTTTGTGCAATAATTTGAACAGCCTTAGTTATCATCATTGTGGTCGTTAACTGCCACGTCTACCCTCTTTTAATTGAGCTGTGATGCAAACTTCTTGCTTAATTATGAATCCACCTTGGTGGTGGTTCATTTCAAACTCTCCTATGACTTAATGGAGACTATTTGGGAAACATAACAATTTATACTTTTGCCATGCTTCAAAGAATCTTTGAGGCCCATGTAAGTGTTAAACTATTGATGGTGTTCTGATGGCTTGCTTTGGTGCTGCTGGTATTCCTATATTGTTTTGCGCCTGGAAATCGTACAAAATGAGGGATTGATTCTTCATTAAGTTACATTCTACACAACATGAAATATATTCTATGTGCTTTCTGTAGGATTGTTCGTGAAGGAAAAGAACGACGCAGACAATGGGCTCAAAAGTTGACACCACGACCATCGTCTGCGAGTGACACTGTTCAAGACAGAATAGAAACTGAGACACACGAAGAGACTCAGAATAACAAGGGAATGCTCCCAGATGACATTGTCCAACTGCTTGCAGCTCGTGAGAAGTATGCGCTGCTACTCTCTCCTCTTTCCCTAACAACTTGCCCCATTTCCTCTCACTATGTGTGTACATACATGTGTTTGTATCTCTTATGGAGCTACTAGCTGTCTTTCTCTTAACATAATTCGCAATTAAGAGAAAAATATCATGTGCAGGAAAGTTTTTTTGTCAGACTCTGAGGAAGAGAAGGTCGAGAAAAAGCGTACCTCCAAAAAGAAAAGGGCAGCCAAATCCTCTGGGTGGGTCCTCTTTTTTTTCTCTTTTATTCTTCCCCAGCTTATTAATAATTTGTTAAGATGTGAAATTCTGAACAAAAAATTTTCCACTAATTGATGGTTTGACAGGCTAGAACCTGTCATTTTGAAGGACATCCCACCTTCTCAATGCTCACAGAACTCATTGGAGTTCTTAAAGAAACGGAAGATGCAGGTTTCAAGATCGTCTGCAGTTCTGAAAAATTCTAACCAGGCATTACGATTCCTTGCTACATCTGGTTTACTAAGTAAGCAATGAGGGATTATGACAATGGTAGCTTCTCAATTTTGATCCATTATTTTGAGGATGATGCTGATCCTTTGCTCCATAGTGACATGATGAACAATCAATATCATATAAATTAATTGTTTGGGGTCAGTGGTTGCATAAATCCTATTGTGGGGAACAGATATCTATTTCTCAGTCTCCAGCAGTGTATTAGAATTTAGATTTTTTATTAGAACTACATATCTAGCATGTTTTAGAAGAAAACTTTGGGTATGATAGGCTATTATTACCTATTAAATTGTATTAAAATTGGATTTATGCATCTCTGAAGGCTCTGATGTGCTTTCTTGAAGCGGATCCACCTTGATTAACCAATAGAAAGAAAAAGTGGAACCACCTTTCATTTTAAATTACCCAAGGCGGCCAACTTAGAGTCCAAAGAGGGTGGAGATTTAATAGGCCACTATTCTCAGTGGAATTAATCTTTGAGACTTTAGCACTGTTGTTTAGAGGACCCAATGTCTCTCATTAGGTTTACAATATTGGATTGCCTAGTTGCATTGTAGGATTTCCATCTTGTGAGAAATGAACATGTGCAGATGTGCTCTGTTATGCAAAACAAAACCTCTCATGAAAGGGCCCAATACGCAATAGAATAATGCTAGAGATCTCAAAGTTGAAATCTCAAATTGCATCCCAACTAAGTGTGGATTATTAGATCAGTGGGTACTATTAAAAATGTGCACGGGACTCGCAAATCCACAGGTCCACACTTACATAGGATGCAATTTGGGATCCCAGCATTACTCAATTCCTCAAGTATTTTCATCCCAATTGTCCTTGTTTTCATATATTACTCAATTAAGATCTCAAATTTAAGTTTTGTAGGGGAGTTAGATTTACCTGATATGTGCGGTTTGTGAATGAATTGCGTATTTTAAGGTACACTACACTAGTACTGTCTCTTTTTTTTTTTTTTAAACTGGTAGTAGGATTCTCAGTTGACAGAAATGACAGGGGAAATCTCACTTTGCACCCCGAAAGATTTCAAGTTTTCTCACTTTCCACTCTGAAAGATGAGATCTTACATTACACCCTCAATGTA